CGGGAAACCTGAACCTCTGAGCAAGTGCAGTGTGCCACTATTTTGTTTCCATAGCTTGGCCCTCTGGGCATGTGGACATCGCAGCCCTATGCTAGCCTACCTAACACAACCACCCCCTTAAGACCCATCTGGATAAGGGGCTGGTCCTCACACACAACCAAAATCCACAACCTATACAAGATGAAGTTCAATTGTGTCCTCAAAGTGCCAGCCATCAACATCAATGACTGTCAGCAAGAGCAAGTTTGACAGCCTCTAGACTGCTGGGAATCCCTCATTGATGGCATCAAGCAGGCTACAGACATGATAATTGTAGACAAAGTAGCAAGTGGTAGCAGGCTACGGTAGCAGGCCCAGGGAGATTTCAGGGCTCATGGTATCATCAATGAGATTGACCCCATCAATGCACTGTAGGCCACATGGAGACCTATGAGGTAACCACCATCGATGGAGCCTGTCAGGAGGGCAACATCTTTGTTACCACCACGGGCTGTGTTGATATCATCCTTGGCCGGCATGTTGAGCAGGTGAAGGATGACGCCATTGTGTGCAACACTGGGCACGTGGATATGGAGATTGATGTTGAGTAGCTTAATGAGAACTTTGTGGAGAAGGCCAACATAAAACCTCAGGTGGACCACTCCCAGCTGAAGAACAGGTCCTGCATCATCCTCCTGGCTGAGGGCCTGCTGGTCAATCTGGGCGGTGCCACGTGCCACCCCAGCTTCCTGATAAGCTGCTCCTGCAGGTGCTGGTGCCGATAAAACTGTGGACCCACCTGGACAAGTACCCTGTTGGAGTCCACGTGTTGTCCAAGAAGCTGGATGAGGCAGTGACTGAAGCCCACCTAGGCAAGCTAAACGTGAAGCTGTTTAAGCTGACTAGTAAGCAGGCCCAGGAATTGGGCATGCCGAGTGATGGCCCCTTCAAACTTGATCAGTACTGTTACTGAAAGCCTGGTCTGCCCCTCACCTTCCAACTGATTCCAACTCTCCCCAAGAAGACTTGGCACTAACTTGAGATTTGTTTGTCATTGGCCCCAGCTTTGTCCCCTCGCACTGTTCCCAGTGTGGCAAGGGGCCTGGAGAAACCCCTCCTAAGCCACTGAGCATGATAGAAGGAGTTGTGAGGGAGACACCGCCAGGGAACCGTGAGCTCCGGGGTCACTTAGTCTTTAGGCGGGAGTCGGCAACAGTGGTCAAGCCCATGCACGTTACATCTAGTCCTCACCTGGCATTAGGGTCTCACATCATATTCTTGGTTGACAGGCTGAGTGGTTCCATGGCCTATGACTGGTGAAAGGGAGTGCTTGCTCAAAGGCAGGGTGGAGCTGTGAGAGTTTGAATATGCCTAAGACTCTGCTTAGTGTCGGCCATCCTCATACACCTCAGAACAGTGAGGTAGCTACTTCTTGTCCTTATTTTACAGGGATTAAAATATATTTGCTAAGGGACGGCCGAGAGAGAAAGAGAAGCAACATCTAGAGCAGTGGTTCTCAACCTTCCTAATGCCGCGACCCTTTGATAGTTCCTCATGTGGTGGTGACCCCCCAACCATAAAATTATTTTTGTTGCTACTTCATCACTGTCATTTTGCTACTATGATGAGTCGGGTGACCCTTCTGAAAGGGTCGTTGGACCCCCAAAGGGGTCATGGCCCACAGGTTGAGAACTGCTAATCTAGAGGTTAAGAGGGGGCAGAAAAACATGAAAATAGAGGTAGGTCTGCCCCTGCTTTGTAACATGCTGGTTCCTGTCACAACTCCCAGTCAGAAAAAGATTAATTTGGTCTACAACGCGTTAAAAGAGAACAGGAATGTGGGCTAATAATAAGAAAGTTGGTGCTTCAAGGAAGCAAAAAAATGAAAGCCAGGCGAGTAGGGCAATTGGATTCTATGATGTCTTCTCCACGGCTTTTCTGTTTCTCCTTCAACATACACTTAAGAGTTTGTGAAGAGGTTCTTATACTCAGGTGACTTTACTTGTGGTTCTACTTATAAATGAATGGTTGCTCCATCTGAAGTCCTTTCCAGTGGTGTCCTGAAGTACAGCTGTGGTCATGTGACATTGCTTAAAATACTCTCCCATGGCAGCTGGTTTGTTTAACTCACCCCCAGTGAATGGGCGGGGGTAGGTATGTAAAGTGCACAAGACTAACTTTGGGATTGGTCAGTTTTGCCACTCTGTTGCGTATAAAAGTATGCCATCTACCTCAGAAACAGGATGAAGAGCCCTGTGACCATTAAGAAATACAGCCACCAGGGCAGTACAGGGGAGGTCCTGGCTAATGTGTCCGATGCAGCAGAGGCACCAGAAGCCATAGCACGGAGACCCAAGAAGCAGGGAATCAAGTGACCTTGTTGGCGCACAGAATGAGGCGGAAGAGACCATGTGGCTGAGATGCTGAGTATCAGAGAGAGAGAGATGCTTTCCAGCATAGCTAAGCAGAGGCACTTCAGACAAAGGACCTGCGGCTTTAACATTTTGTAACCTGTTAGCTCCCCTGATAATTCCCCTAACATGATATTGTCTGTGAGTCCTGTGTGGCCATAGCAATCAACCCCAGCAGAGAAAGAGAGTGTCTTGGGAGGGATGGTTGGTGTCAGAACAAGATAAAGAAGGATTGTGGGTAGAGACATGCTGGATCTTTGATTAATAGGAATGATTCTTGGGCAGTTGGATTCTCCTTCCCATTAGTGAAGCTGAAGGCCAGTGGAGGCTCTCACACCATTTCCTCAGGAAATCTTTCCAATGGACAGAATGTTTAGCCGGATGTTTGCTTAACCCATTTCCATGGAAAGAGAGATGACCTAATATAAAATCCATACTGACTCATAGGCAGGGGCTAATGGGTTAGCCAGCCCATCAGAAACTTTGGAAAAAACAAGATTGAAATACTGGGAACAGAGAGGTCAAAGAGGGGAATGCATATAAAAGAGTTTCTTCGCATGGGCACAGAGTGAGAAAATATGTGTCTCATATAACCCCTATCTATCCTGTGGATGTTACCAACCTCTGTCCAACCAAAATGCTAGGTTTTGCTCTAGGTGTGGTGGCAAGTATAGAGGTCAAGAATGAACTCAACTATTTGAACTTCACTGATCAAAGTTGATGTTGGAACCCTCATTGCTAAGTCTCCAGCTGACAGAGCCAAGGCCATCACTGGTCTCGAGTTATGGTATAATTCACAGTTCCAGCTCACTCAGTCTCTAGGAATACTATTAACTCCCTTCCTTAACAGTAGGGGGTGGGTCTGGGGGCACTTGCAAACACAGCACTGAGAAAACTTGATGGCCAAGATGAAGTGGGAAATGAAGAAACCAAATTCACTGCCACCAAGTCGATGTAGACTCACAGCAAGCCTACAGGATGGGTTAGTTCCGAGACTGTAACTACTTATGGGAATAGAAAGAGCGATCTTTCTCTTGTGTAGTACCTAGCTGGTGGTTTCAAACTGCTGACCTTGTGGATCACAGCCCAATGTGTAACCACTCTACAAGGACCAGGGCTCTTTGGTAAATAGAAGGAGAATGAAGATAAAAAAGACTATGATAGTTGAAACTTTTAGTTTCTTTTTTTAATAAATCATTTTATTGTGGGTTCTTGTAGCTCTTATAACAATCCATACATTAATTTTTAGTTTCCTTTAACCTTGGGTGGAGATACATGTAATATAGAGATTATGGGAGAAGGGTATAAAGTGGTTGGTGGAAGACTTAATGAATTCAGTTCAAGCATCTGAATTTGAGTGTGAACAACTGTTTTCAGGAGCAGCTAATGGTCAAGGGGGAAAGGATCCCTGAGTGTCTAAGAATGGTCTGGAGATAAAAGGTGAAAAGTTGAATTCATCCAAGCCCGGTGTTAATGCCTCCTAGGACTGTGTGTTTGTAATCATTTGTTTCTGCTTACAGTGGGGTCTTGTTTTCAGCCTAATGAACAATCTGAGAAGAACTTTTAGGATGCCTTGGTACTTAAGAGAGCAGGTGCCCTAACCAACTGCTTCCCTGTGGATTCTGTACCCAAAGCACCAAGGCTGGGCACTCACCTGCCACCTCCCACCTCTAACCCCAGCTCTAGAACAGTTTGGCATGCTGTAGTCATGCCCATTTGTGTAAAATGAATGGATACATAGATGAATGCTGTGGGGGTAGGGGTGAGGGGGGACAAGCGAACTAACAAACCAGGGGATACAATGGAGAGCTAAGGAAAGGGGAAGCCACACACACACACACACACACACACACACACACACACACACACGAGCTTTCCTTTTCAGAGCCACTCTCCAAGACTGGAAGGTCAGAGGCCTTGCTGTAGAATAAGTTAGTCCCTGGACTCTGAAGTCAGGTTCCTCCACCTTCTGACTGCTGACTTAGCCTCTCTGTGCCTCTGCTTCCTCCTAGTGAACGCAGAGTTGCTGCCTAGGGGAGTGCGGGAGAAAGAAGGGCAACTTCCACTGAAGTGTCCGTCTGATTATTTTTGGCGTCTTCATGAGAAAGGAAACGCCCAGGACAGAGACTAAATTCTGGGACTTACCCTCTAAGTGCCATTCAAAAGCGAACACAAGCCTTTTTTTTTTCTTTCTTTCCTCTTTGCTTTGCAGACTGCCTTAGGCATCCCATTTCCCCCCAACATAACTTCTCACTGGCCCAGGAGTTAGCCCGTGGACCACAGCGAGCTGCGTGAGTTTGCTACGCCCCACGCCCACTCAGGGCCTCTGGTCACTGTCTGTCCGTCTGTCCGCACCAGGTTTCGGGCTCTGAGAATCAACGTGCCTTTCAGCATAGACGCATCCCGCACCGTGAGTCGCTGAGCCCTGGTCTCCAAGTTCACAATTGAGCAGCCCCTCCCCTCCCTTCCCGGGTGTCCACGTTGGCCCCCACCCAGCCCAGCCCCCAGGGTCGCAGCACCCAGCGCTCCAGGGCTGCAGCCCAGCGCTAGCTCTGTCTGGGGTAGGTGCCTCTAGGGCGCCCTCCGGCCGGGATGCCAGTGTCCCACGCCCGGTGTGACTTCGCCCGCGGTCACCCCCGGGCCCGGCGGCGCCTTTACACGGAGCGGGCTGGCTGCTCACTAATGTTTAACCTCGGGCTGAAACTTGCAAGCGCAGCGACTCCGCGCCGCTAGCAGCGGCGCAGGACGCCTGTTTCCGCGGCTCGCCGGACTTGGACTTGCCTTCCTTCCTGCTCTGGAAAGCTCCTTTCTGGGGACGCTCGGACCATGAAGGTAAGTACCTAGCGCTCTTCACACGCCTCTAGCCCCAGGGTTACTTCATAGGTGCCGTTTCGCCACCGGTTCCCCAAGTTCACCGGGCTAGGGACTCTCAATAGGCAAGGAGCCCCAGGGCCTTTCTCTAACAGGTGGAGGGGATGTCCCAGGGCGCTCTCTCGCGCGCGCGCTCTCTCTCTCTCTCTCCCAGATGAATTTCTTCTAAAACCCACATACTGAGACTTGGAGAATCAGAGAGCCATGCACAAAACGCAAGACCCAATCCTCAGGTGGCCTCAAGCAGGCAGGCTGGACTAGAGAAACCATTGTCTGTGTTCAGAGGCCACAAATTCAGACACAGGGCTTTCTACTCTCGAAGAGTTAGTCTCTGAAACGCAGGGGTCTTTCTAAGCTGCCCTAGAGGGTCGCTAAGAGTCGGTGGCAGTGAATTTACAGGCAGCCCTTCCATGCTACACTAATTGCACACCAAACCCTCCTACAGCCTATGCCCTTCTTCCTACACACTCCCATCTGCAAATCCTACTGGAGGGCAGCCTGGGCTCTAACTCTCTTATGCAGACTCCGGCCAAATGCTGCCCTCTCACCAGGCACGCTCTGACCTCCTTGCAGACGCTGTGGAAGATCGTCCTGGGGGTGCTGGGTGCGGCTGCGCTCATTACCATCATCACCGTGCCCGTGGTTTTGCTGAACAAAAGCAGTAAGTTTGAAACATTCCACAAAGACCCTCGGAAGTTGGAATCAGATGTACGACGCTAAGGGACCGAGGGATTTTGCTGGGCACTGAGCCCCGCCTGGGTTGCAGCTACAAGTGGTGTGGGGTCTGGATTCACTTTGCGGGAGAATCTGTACAATATTTAGTGTGTGAGCCTCGAAACCGCCACGTTTTTGTTATGTCTAACAAATGTATACTGCCTGAAATGAGGAGGACGCCTGTGGATGGCTGTTTATGGAATTTAAAATTCACTGTTGGGTGTGTGATTCCTGGAAGAATAAGGGGTTGTACATAAAAATCCCAAGTTTACCAGGAAGAATGTCTCAATCGGAAGAAAAGCTGGGGAAAAACCCTCAATATGTGGTTTTGAGAAACATCAGTGTACAGGGAACCCTGGCTGTTTTCATTTGATTATGATGGTTGGATGGCTATGATGCAGGGGAACAACTATTTGGCCATTTGAAAAGTATGACAGAGAAAAATCATAACATTGGCATGCATGCCAATATTCAGAGAGGCCCGAGATCAGCGCTTTTGGTGGATGATTTTCATTAAAGTACTTTCAGATATTATAGCTTGCCTCAATGTTCCCGTTTAGTCTGTGCTCTTAATTGAAACCATTCAGCTAATGGAATGCACACTATTTAGTGGAAACACTAGTTCGGGTCTCCTCGGGGCCCTCCTTTCTTTTAAAATATGTATTTTCATGTTAGGTGTACAATTTCTGGATTGGTCAGCAAACAGAAACATTCTCTCTCTGGATGGTTCAGATGTCCACTTAGGGTTGACACACTGAGGGGCTCTTTTTCTGATCTTCCAGCAATGGTTCAGAATTAATACCAGTATTCCCTGGCACCAACCAGCTGCAAATTGAGTCCTACTCTTGGCCACCCCACAAGCATCAGAACAGAACCGTGCTCCCTCCAGTTCCCAATGTCTCGGAGATTGCCAGAATTGTCTTCTGAGTCACTGATAGTTGGACTCCAACCTGCTGGTTTGGGGTTAGCAGCCAAGTACTTTAACCTTTCTCACCCCAGGGACTCCATCCCTGGTGGAACTATCAAACCCATGCTTGTCCTGAGACTTCAGGACCAGGGCAGAGGTGACAAGAGTTGAATAATAAAATGAGTTGGCCGATTAATAATTACATTTCTTTACTTAAGAAAGCCGTGCTCTCATCATTTTAGACTATTAAAGGTAGACTCCGTCCACTTGTATTTGGCTCCTTCTTGCAAGCTATCAAAATAAGCCCTTTGTGGGGAGGAGGGAGAGCTAAAGTGACTTCTTGTGTACTCAAATAACAACACACCTAAAACCCGGTGGTGAGAAAGAACAGGACGTTCACTCCTTCAAGAAATAGTCAACACCACGCACTGTGCTAGTGGCTGCATATATAAAAATTAAGCTTTATAAATATTAAGGTCCCTGACCCCAAGAAATTTATAATCTAATGAGAAACAGATATGTAAGTAATAATAATCTGTCTAGTCCATTTGTAAGGGTCTCAGTTTGAGAGGCCATAAGGAGCCACGGTGGCATAGTGGTTATATGTTGGGCTGCTAACTGCAAGGTCAGCAGTTCAAAAACACCAGCTGCTCCCAGGGAGAAAGTTGGGGCCTTCTACTCCCGTAAAGAATTACAGTCTTGGAAACTCACAAAGTCAGTTCTACCCTTCCTTTAAAGCAGCTATGGGTTGGCATTGACTCGGTGGCATTGAGTTTAGCAGTGGTTCTCCACCTTCCTAATGCTGTGACCCTTTCATACAGTTCCTCATGTTGTGGTGATCCCCCAACCATAAAATTATTTTTGTTGCTAGTTCATTGCTGTCATTTAGCTACTGTTATGAATCTGGCCACTCCTGTGAAAGGGTCATTGGACCCCCAAAGGGGTTGCGACCCACAGGTTGAGAACTGCTGGTTTAGAGTGTATAGCATCATTGTCGAGATAAGCTAAGCTAATCATCAGAGAGACCTTGAAGAAACGGTGACTATACTTGGGTAAGCTACTTGCAATGGCCGGGGAAATAGTCAAAGGGTCTCTGTGCACAGCACCATCCATGGGCTCTCTTAACGTTGCTGTTGTTAGTGCACTCACGATGACCCTCAGCAGAACAAAATGGAACGTTGCCCATCTTGTGCCATCCTCACAATTGCTCTTTTGAAGACTAAGGTGCACCAGACACAAACCATGGTATCTTCAATCACCTTATGTGTGTGCAAAATCTGAAGAATTGTGGTGGTGGTGGTGGTGGTGAAAAAATATTGAATAGACCATGGTCTGCCAGAAGAACACCTATCTGCCATAAAAGAAGTACAAACAGAATCCTCCTTGAAAAGGAGGATGGCGAGACTTCCAAATTCACTATAGGGATTTTGATTTGCTGGGAGGGATATGGAGAGTGGGCAGGAGCTGTTTTGTTACTTCTCTATAAAGCATATAGTCTTGTCTACTAATGAAATTTGAATAAATACTTCAAGAATGTTCTCGTAGCAGAGCCTGCGAGGCTTACATGCTCCCTGGACCAGTGTCGTTTGACTTCCAATTGCATCTCACTCACGGAGCCCCATGTGTATCGGTGTAGAACTGTGCTCCACCAAGTTTTCAGTAGGCGGTTTTGAATCACCAGGATTTGTCCTTTCACATCGCCTCTGGATAGTCTTCAACCTCCAATATTTCAGTCCTTTTACACCACCCAGGGACTAACCCTTATCTAAGTATGATTGCGATTTAGGAAGATCATTGCAGCATAGGCTGCCAAACTTATTTGGCTTTACTGCCCTCTTTTCAGAAAAAAAAAAATTACTTAGTACTGTCCCTCCACCCCTAGCAAAAACAACAAAACCTTTTAGCACGATAGCCCACGACCTAGGGTGAAGTGTGGCCGTCTGCTTTTGCAGCCCTCCTGGATCATCCCAGCCATGACCAGAGAGAGCGGTGTCACCCGCTTAGGGAAACACTGATTTAAGGGACGTGAGCAAACTTTCCTGGGTGTTAGGAGGGTTAGGAGGGGCACTTACGGCTATCTCACAAAGTCAGAGAAGACAACTTTTGTGACAGGTTAAATAATCAACATCAGTATCTAGAGATTTGCTTTGCCAGAAAAAAGGGATGCCAGCCTAGCCCTTCTGTTCTGGGATTATAAAGGGATCCTGGGACAGAGAGGAGAGGGCAGCAGGAGACAGAGTGTGAGTTTAGCCTGCAGATGATGAAGGGCCCCTGGGAACTGGAACAAGTGAGCATCTAGCCGAGAGTGGTAGTTATGACGATGGGAAGATGATTAAGGTAGAGCAAGGCTTGAGGAGGATGCAAGGAAGGGGGACCAGGAGACTGCTGGTGTAGAAGACTCGGCAAGGGTAACAGGGATTGAGGTGACAGCTACTCGGACTTGTGAAAGATGAGACTTGGGTAATTCATTGGTTATCTGCAGGAAAAAAAAGGGCAGGATGGCTTAGGATGCCTCTGGGGCAACTAGATGGAAATGAGGCTTCCTTGTAAGTTTTTGGTTGTTTGTTTTTAACTTTTTGTGGTGGTTTGGGTGACGTTTACAGGTGAAATGGTCTTCATTTAGATAATTTATCTACATTTTGATTCCTGACATTGGTTTCACTTCCTGCCCTGGTCAGAGCTCCTCCCACTTCCTCCTCCTGTTCACCTTTTCCGTTCCTCCTCCTTTCCTGGCTTCAGAGCTAGGCTGCCCTTTCCTGTCTTGTGCCTGGTTGTTCTAGGGAGAGGGAGTGCTCACCTCATTAAAAACCAAAACACTGCGATGAGTCCATCATGACTGCTTAGCGACCCTGCAGAGCCTTGGTGGCATGGAGGGTACACACTGGGTGGCTAGCCACAAGGTCAGCAGTTCATAAGTCCCCAGCCGCTGTGGGGAGAAAGAGAAGGCATTCTATTCCCATACAGAGTTCCGGTCTCAGAAACCCCCAGGGCAGTTCTACCCTGTCCTCTGGGGTTGCTGTGACTTGAAGTGGACTGAGCTCAATAGCAATGAGCTGTCTGTTTTTGAGTGACCTGATAGGATAGAGCAGAACTACTCCTTAGGGTTTACAAGACGATGCGCCTTTATGGGAGCAGATAGTCTCGTCTTTCCCCCACAGAGTGGCTTGTGAGTTTAAATCACCAACCGTTAGGTTGTCAGCCCAATGCTTAACCCTGTGAACCACCAGGGATCTTTAGTCAGCTGATAGGTCTATAAAGGTGAATCCTGGGGGAGGTGGTTTATTGTATGTATCTTTATTCTTAACACTCAAGTTTTTTCTATTCTGATGTTTCTTACTTGGCATGTATGTATATATGAGGAGACACAGGAAACCATCTTGTTTCAGCTTCCGCCTTATTTTAAGGGACAAAGATGTAGGAATGCAGCACTTCATTCAACAAGCAATCCCATCCCTGGGCTCTGCTATAATATGGACAGTATTACTTTCAAGGAATCCTGAGTCATTGCCCTGCCTGCCCCTCCCCCCAAAGCCTCCATTTTGTCTGGGTTTAAAATCAAACAAATACAGGGGAAGGAGGTGGGCAAGTGTGGAGAAAGAGGGAGAGGAGAGAAATGAAACAGGCCGGGACTAGAAAGGAAAGGAAGGAAGGAGGGTGGATGATTTCAGTAAGGAAAATGAGCAAAGACATAAATGATATGATAAGCAAAGAACTAACCAGCAAAAAGGAAGGAGGAAGAAATAAGCAAACCCAGATTCATCCTCGACAGGTTTGTCTAAGAGAAGGTTAGTGTTCTCTCAATGAAATACTGACTTCAGCAAAACTCAACTCATTCAGAACAGGAAAAGGGAAAGAGAGATATTGATTCTAGTTGCATGGGCTTCATACTATTGCTGTATTTATTAGAATAAAAAATTTCTTGACATCAGGTATTTGACTAAGCTAAGCAAAGAGTTCAGGGTTTTAAGTTAAAAGAAAAATAAAACAAAAGTCCCAAAAGGCTGCCAGTGAGTTAATTCGGACTTGCAGCTACCCACGGG